CCTCCTTTCTGTTCCCTCTGTGGCTGAGCTGTGCTCACACCAGCCCAACGCCGAGCAGGGTTGCACAACAAGCACCATCCCTTGCACCCCTTTGCTGACCAACTTACAACTGATCTGCACTTCTGCTGTTCCTTTATCTCCACTAGCTACAGCGAGGTGGGGTCTTGAGGGCTATGATTTAGGCATATTAAAATATGTCAGGAAAATACGGATGTTGGCTCACTGGGAGGACACAGTTAATATTTATATTAAAAGTTCTTGATGTTTTAAACACCTCAAATTGGAACAACCCTTGATCTTCTCAGTAAGTGTCATGTAAACAGGACAGGAACACTGTGTGTCTGAGATATTTCTTTACGGTTTCCTAGCTTAACCTCACATGGGTTTAGGTATTGCAGTGGACCTCACCACTGTATATAAGAAAATGAGGCAAAAATGTGCTCATATCCAGAGGATTCACCACCTTATTAATGCATATATGTCATGCATAGATTATTAACAGCTCCATAACTAGAGAGGAACTTGCATTTCAATAAACATACTTTTACAAGTGCAAAGAAAAAAAGTTTTGCATTAGGATGTTACTTACTTCATGTCTTTGTCCTGGGAGAATGCAACTAAAGAAACCACATTTAAAATCAGACATTAGATATGCAAATATGTGTTCAGATCAGAGATACGAAAATTATTCAAATGATTAATTATTCATCATAAAAATGTCAATTAATAATTCTGAAGCATAATAGGCATCTTTCTAATGCATCTTTATTTTTCAAGCCTAAATACTGTTGAATCTGTGTTCAATTGCATTCTAACAAGTTTTTAAAAATTCAACAAAGTAAACAACCAACTATAAACAAAAGTGAGCCGTGAATTTTAATCACTGCCAACTGAGCCAAGAAATGTGGCCGAAATTCAGTATTGATCCCAGAAGAGAAGGAAAAGCATTACCAGCTCATGGTGTGGCACAGTGGGTGGAAGATGCTTGTCCCTCACTGCTCTCTGTCCAACAAGAAAAGAAATTTTGGGACCTGTGGATGTCATTCCCTTGCTGCAGACACACAGACAGACGTTGTGAACGGCAGCTGAGCAGTTCTAGGCCTTCAGAAGTGGCTTTATAAATGACAAAATTAACAAAAACATATGAGGAGATTCACTTTTAAAGTTCAGGGACTCACACAAGATCAAATATTACAGTGATCTGCTGGTTAGAAATGCCCAGGGATAGATAAATTAAAGCCAGACAATCTTTTCCCTTGCTTTTGGCTCGTATCCTATCCCTACATGGGTTTTCCGCAGAGGAACTCAAAAACTTTGGGAATGTTGATTCAAAAGGTTTCTTCCCAAATACCTCATCAGCGGGTGGGGGGAGAGTCGTTCCCTGACCCTTTCTTCCTCTCCTCTGTGCCCTCTCCCCCATGTGGAAATTGGAAAAAAAATAAAGGCTTCGCTTTCTAAATCCTGGTTTATTGGGACACCTGTACTGAGCAAAAGTATCCAGCAGCATCTTGGGCCCACATGGGGCCTTCCCTGCTCACAAAAATTATTCCAGCCTGTCTTATCCTCTACTGCCACAGGTGACTGCAGAAAATAATCCCCCCAACATCTTTTTGTCTTTGATTCGGGGGATTTTTTGCAACCTCTTCTTTCTCAAGGCGAGGACATCTTCTACACCCCAGAGACGGGAGCAAGAGAAGCAGCCAGAACCCACAGGGATCCCAAATCTTGCAGGAGCAGCTCCCTCAGCGGAGCAGGGCTGTGGGGAGGGAAGGATGCTCTCCCCAGGCTTGGCTGCAAGTGGGCACATCTCATCTGGATCCCCTACATGGGGATGTTTAATCCCTGATGTAGGAAGAGTTCCACACTTTAGGGAAAACAGTCAAGAGTTCTGGCTATGAAAGACATGCAGGAAAAGCCTCAGAGCTGCTAAAGTGTATTTAGAAGTGTTAAACCTCTGTCTTCACCAGCCTCTAAAATGTATTAGACAAAATTCACCAGCCAGAACATCTTTGCTCCTGTTCCCTCAGTTTTCCTCCTTCCACGTGGTGGGCAAGAAAACACAGTCCCCGTTACTCATCCTCCACCAGGGAAAAAGCAAACACACCAAAATAAATAAGGCAGTGAATCATCCCCTCAGCCCATGCCACCACATCCCCATAAAGCCACCACGGCAGAAGGTCTCAGCAGAAGGCTCAGGTCCTGCAGGGCCCGTGCCCCAAAGCCTCCTTGGTCGCTGCTCACCTCCCCTCTCAGTCAGAGCTGTGTGCCTGGGGATCACAGGGAGGTCTCTCCCTGCACAGCCCCTTTCTCATGATAGGGTTTGTCCCTGGCAGCAGGATCTGCCCCTGGCTGGCCCTGCAGATCCACACAGTGCTGGGAACACGGGGTTAGCTCCAAGGGGCTTATCTTCATCACAATAGGTTTTGGTGGACAAAGGAGACCCACCGAGGAGCTGGAGGCAGGACTGCTTCTCCTGTGGCTTTAACCAGGCAGGTCTGCATCAGGATCAGGCCACTCTCATCTCAATTTGCAGCATTTCCATACAGGAAAACCCGAAGAAAAGAGGAGAAACCTGCGCTCAGAGAACTGCCCTTAAAACCATCTCGAAATGCTGGGAGCTACACACAAGGAAGGAGCTGGGTTTTGTGAGGATATTTGGCTCTGCTTGCTCTTAAACTGGTGGGGTGGGGGGGATAGGATGTGCAAAAGTTTTAAAATAGAGCAGGGAATAGGATCTGCATGGGGATGCTGATGGAGCAGGGACTGGGATCTAGGCTGCCAGCACCATCCCAATAAAGACAGGATCTATAGCCTGTCATTATTTCCATCTCCTAAAGAAGCTGCACACCCGTTATTAGTTCAGACCCGGGCAGGAAATCATCACCTGGATTAAGGTTAAATTCCATCTCAGAAGGGCTTAGCTGATTGCTAAATGTTTATGTCCAGTGTCCAAAAATTAAAAATAAAATTAAAAAAGACCCACCAACAAACACCCCCGTATCTCACATTAAAATAACATCCAATAATGTTGGGTGCTATGTCAGTCCTGCGAAGATCCGAGCAGTTTTATCGCTCCGATGCAAACCCTGCTGAGGCACATCAGAGCTGGGGAAACTGTGAGATTGAGGGCTGAAAGAACAGCCAGCAAAATTATGAATAGGGATTATCTGACAATGCCAACATGTTTCTTAAAGCCCTTGAGCGTCATCACACGCTCTGAGGGTTTGTTTTTCAGCGTGGCTGCAGATAAATATATTTTATTGATACGCCATCGACAGCACTCCTGCCTATTGCGAGTCAGGCTGCAGCCTCTCCTAATCTCCAGTTCATCCCCTGATTCTGTAATCTGGAAATGTAGGAACAATATGTAAGGAGTCTGTAATGGGATTAATTTATTTTGAGAACTTGTTGGTCGGGCTTTAGGTTTTCTCCTTTTTCTCCTAGAAAACGTGGGTGAGTGGAAATTGAGCAAGTCAGTAATTAGCATTCACTTTTTTCTTTTCCTTTCTTTTTATCATATGCATCTAAATTCAGTTTAGCTCTTTAAGGAATTGCCAGACTGCCCTTGATTTATAGGCAGTGCCTTCTGGATCTGAGAGGATCTAATTCAAGCTAATAATACTTGAATTTGATTTCAGGATATTTGTGCTGTGCTATATATTTCATTAAGATATCATCATTCTGTGTGTGTGTATGGGTGTGATATGCCTCTGTGTATCCAGGTACATCTAGGCATGGAGAAGTCATGCATCCTGCAGGAAAATCACGCTGGCATTTAGAGAACAGTGGCCAGAAAACTTTTAACAAAGCCACGATGACTCGCAACGGGAAACAAAAATAGAAATGGAAATAAAAATAATAAATATGAATTTAAAAAAATATAAATTAAAAAGATTAGGGCAGCTCGTTCCCACCTTTGCCTGGTTGGGGACTGCAGCGGCAGCAGACGGCCAGAGCCTGCCTCTCCCTCCCCACTCCGCCTGCAGCTCGGGGTTGAGGAGGGGGGACACCCGGAGGTGCCACATCCCAGCCCGGGAAGACATTTGGATGCCCCTACCCGGAGCCCCCCCGTGCGCTGCCTCCCCCGCATCTCACAGGGTCACCCACTCCCGTCTAACTGATGACCAAAAAAAAAAAAAAAAAAAAAATAGAAAATCCCAGGCAGATCTCGGTGGCTCTGATGAGCTGCAAAGACACCCTGCGGGGGGGCGAGGGGGGTCCCTTCCTTGCTTTGCGATGCTGAACCGCCAGGAAGGTGTTCCCTGAGCAGGACCATTTTGGAGCGCGATCCCATCGCTGCTGCTCGCCCTCCACTTCTTGCTTTAGGCACACGCTCAGTGCACAGTTCAAGAGCAGTTTATCTAAGCTTAATGTAAGTAAAAGTGCAGTGCGGGATCAGTGTGCCGTTTGTTTCGGTTTCCTTCGGGAGGGGGAGAAGGGAAAAAAAAAAATAAAGTGCTGGAATAGGCTGAACTCTTGTCAGAGCAGGGAAATTGTTCCGCAGCTCTTTAACTGGGCAGCCCCACGTTTACCTTGGGAAAGGACCGTACGAGTGGGCAAGACGCGAAGTTTCTCTCTGCAGTGAGACTATTTCGAGCTCCTTCAGGAGGAAGGAACGGCTGTGGGCTGTGCTGGGAGCTGGGCATGAGCGGCTGGAGCCTCAGCCGGATCTGGATCTGCCCCCTCTGCCGCCGAGCGCCTTCGCTCAGCATCCCCGGCTCGCTCTGCCTTTACTTACTTCGATATAACTTCTCGATTACGTGCGGTGTAAACCGGCTTTTTGATTAACAAACCGGCAGAGCGTTGGTTAAGAACACTTAAACTTCAAAAAAAAAAAAAAAAAAGAAAAAAAAAAAACTATCCCCCTGGGAAGAGGGCTCTGAATTGGTTAATAATGTGCAGTACTTGCTAAATTGCTGACTTCCAGATGTGGAAAATATCTTTCTTGTTTAGGACCTACGTAACCTGATTGGATTACGACAGAAGCGTCACATTGGAAGGCTTTTGAGTGATGATTTAATTAACCATACAGTAGAAAGCTGTATTTGCCAGGAAACCCCTTCCATATTTGCATAACCAATCCCTTCAGTGCAAAGGTGGAGTCTAGGCTTCTTTTTTTTTTTTCCTTTCTCTTCTTTTTTTTTTTTCTATATGCAATTTTATTTTAATTTTAATACTTGAAAAAAGTGAAAAACTTGTAACCTCCCTAAAGTTCAGCCCCACGCGTTACTCGTCCACGCTGTCTCTCTCTGCTCATCCAGCTACTTCCAAGAAAAAGCAGAGCCAGGAAAAGAGCCCATCTCACCCCTGATCCATATCTGTGAACAAAACAGATAGACTGTAAGATCTCAGCACGTTTGGTTGATTTTTTTTTTCATCAGATTTAGCTGACTATTCAAATAACCTGGATGAGTACTGAAATGAAAGGGGGGGGAATAAAAAAGCCCAAAAAGAAACGCGTGAAGGATAAAAATAAAACCGCACCAAAACAAGCCAGGAGCTTATTTGCAGTACCCGAACAGAGTTTAGTTTCTAGGCTTTATGTTAGGGTAAGTTTTCCCCACCGCAAGAAGCGAGGGCTGGCCGCCGGACGGCGCGGGGCAGGATGCGGGGCAGGATGCGGGCGCGGGGCGGGGGGCGGGCGGGAGGAGGTGGAATTGCATTTCTGCCGCTAAAGCGTTCGCGGAGACTTCAAGGTATAATCTATCCCAGATCCTTTCCCAGAGAGAAACTTGGCGATCACGTTTCCACATGATGCTCACGTTTGGTGCTCTCCAATTATCCCTCCCCACAAAGATAGGTGGCGTGTGTTGCAGGGTCTCTCCTCTCGCTCGTACAGAAAAGAAAAAGAAAAAAATGTCATTAGAAGAGGCGTAACACGTCAGTCCGTCCCCAGGTTTGTGTTTCCTGGAGTGGCAGAAAGAGATCAGTCCTAACCTGCCCAGCAGGAATAACGGTCCTTCCGACAACTCTTTGCAAGGCTTTTTACAATTTCTCCAGGAGCTGCATCTCCCTTCACCTTTTCTCCTCCACTTCGCGGCTTCTTCATGCTTTTTCTTCTCACCATTTCTGGCCAAAACTACAAACAAGACTTCGCAGGTAGGTTCGGAATTTAATTCCATTTTCTCTCTTTTTTTTTTTTTTCCCCCCTTCTCTTCTTTTTTTTTTTTTTTTTTTTTTCTCACACCATCTCACGCATCAGCGGGGTTATTTCATTTCGAGAGTATTTTAATTTTTCTGGATTGTTTATACTTGGGGCGATTTTTTTTCTTAATTTTTTCAGTCTTTTGAACTGAAACCTGAAGTCACCCCAGCACCGCTCCAGGAAGGGATGAGCAGTTTCGGGGTGCTCGGGGCTGTGTCACCACCACCCCTGCTCCCCTTACCTGTCAGCCAGGTACGGGAGGTGCCTTTTAAAACGCAGTAGCAAAAGTTTTAGTGTTAGGAAAGGACTTCGTCCTCCTGAAAAAAAAGAAAAAAAAGAAAAGAAAAACCCCGAAACATCCCCCCACCCACATCCTGCTCTTTTTATTTCAGGTTTTACATCTGAGCTCTGAAAGTTTGCAGGTACCTGTTAATGCTTTGCATGCCCTGAGCATGCAGAGCCAGCCCGGCCGGGCACCGCTGGAGCCCCAGCCCCGGGCAGGGCTCCCCGGCAAAGGATGTGTTTCCCCAAACAGAAAGTTTTGCTGTTTTGTCTGCATAGTTGGTTTCATTTCTATATTTTATTTTGTGAAGCTGGGTGAAGTAACACCTTAGCTTCTGGGAGCCTAAAGCAAGAAGTGAAAGTACAGACTGGAACTTAAAAGTCGTTTACCAAAAGGAAAAAAAAAAATTAAAATTAATACATATTTTTTAAAAGCTTGCCGGTACTCTGGGAAGAAAAGTGTTCTCGAAATTTGCAGGTTTAAAATTATTGACAACTTTTTTTACGGGAGGCTGGAGAGTAGGGAAGGGAGTGAAATGCATTTAAAACAATTCACCATTGGTCGTTTTGCATGAAAACGCCAATTGCCGAGGCAGGCTGAGGGTCCGGGCTCGCCTCGGTGCCTGTTCTCCCTCCCCGCTGTTCTCCTCTCCTGGCAGATCTGCCGCCGTGATGCCACCATTGCCCACCCCAGCCTCGGGAATAACTGGCAAATACTAAAGTTTCTAGCACATTTCTCAGCCTCTTCTTCTCTCAGCCACATTCATCCACATCCACAGAGCCACCCATTCCCTCTGTCCAGGCGGAATCCCAGGCAGGAGAGTGTGAGTAAACACGCTGACCCTACGCACACTCTCTCAATCTCCCCATCCTCTTACCTGCTTGGAGATTTATTATTTTTTATTTATAGCCAAGCAGGTTTTATAACAGTAAACGCCTGAGGAGAGAGTTCAGGCAGAATAAAAAGACCCAACAGCAGCACACTTCACTGCTCAGTCCTGGTGTGAAGCTCCAGCAAAGTAAAAAGACACAAGGGAGAGGAAGGAGGAAAAGGGGAGGAAAAAAAAAATATCTCACTCTGCTTTACATACGTATATATATATATATATTGAAATTGTTGAGGCAGGTAATAATTTTTTAGGTTTTATGTAAAACTCCCAGTGCAGAAGAAGACAATAGATGCGAAGGCGAGGGGGCATCCTGCTCAGGAGAGCAAGGGTTAATTGCCCTTGTTTTACAGTTTGCATCTGTTACATCTTTTATAGCCCCCTGTTTAAACTAATCCTCAAGTCAAAGCATCTTTAAAGCTACAGCATCTTCTTCGAGATGGACTGAGTTTCAGGAGCGTTCTTGCAGCAAACCCAACGCTCCTGCCCCTCTCTCCCTTTGACAGATAGAGCCTCCTGCCCAGCCCGGGCACACAGGCACACACAGTAGGTCTAAAAGTTTACAAGTTGCTTTTATTTTTATTTTTTTTTCCTTAAAAACAAAAAAACCCAAAACCCAACTGAAAAGCTGAAAACTCTGACAGCGGTAGTTTTGATTTCTGTTTCTTTTCTGGGAAGGAAAAAAAAATTGACACTCTGAAGCTTTGTTTAACTAAGGGGCAGGGGAAACCCTGAATATTGTCAAACTGACTAAAAAGGTGACAGAGGTTTATAATTACACTCCTCGTTGTTAGGGGGAGGGGGAGGTATCCGTGCTGAGCTTTACCCCAAAAGGACAGGGGAGAGCCATGTTTCCCTCTCCTCTTATCACTTTGCTGGAGAGGACTTTGGGGGGGAAAAAATGAAGGCAGGAGAAGGGTAGGATTTCGCGTGAAAAGAAGTTCTAGTGTCAAATTAAAGTACTTTTAGGAGGAAATGGTCCGCCTAGCATTGAGTCAAACAGCCTACTGTAAAAGCTGTGCATTCCCTCATACGGTCATGAGTTATGACTCATTTGAGATGTAATACTTGTCTCTCTCTCTCTCTCTCTCTCTGATCTGCTTTGCTGGTGCAACACACACACACGCAGGGAGGGAGACACACGCACACGCGCTCACACACACACACGCAGAGACACACACACACAGAGAGAGAGAGAGAGAGAGAGAGAGAGGGAGCAGAAATAAATAAATAAATAAATATATAAATAAATAAAGAAGAAATCTGCCCGGCTGGGGAGAGAGGGGGAGCCCGCTCCGACCGCGTCCCACCTCCCCCGGCACGGCCAGCCTCGCCGTGTGCGTGGATGGGTTCTTTTTCGGGTGCAAACTGGGGTCCCCGTTGGCGCCCTGCGTTTAAATGGGACATCCCGATGCCCACATTGTCGCTGTGTTTGGTCGTTACATAGAGCCTGCGTGCTGCTGCTGCCGCTGCCGCTGCCGCTGCTGCTGAATCAGGGAGTCGAGCCCATGCGAACTGCCATCTGATCCACTCTTATCAATGAAGCAGCAGATCATGGCGGATGGCCCCAGGTGTAAGAGGCGAAAACAAGCCAACCCCCGGAGGAAAAACGGTAAGACGGCCCCCCGGGAAAACTTTTCCCGGCCGGTTCCGCCGCGGCCGTGGGGGGAAAGGCGGCGGCAGGACGGGGAGCGGGACGGGGAGGGGGGCACGGCGCCCGGCAGCCCGGGGCTGGCCGCCCCCCGCCTCCCTGCGCGGCGTCCCGCGGAGCGGCCGGGGCTGCGCGGGTGCGGAGGGACGCGGCGGCCCGGCTGGCCCGGAGCTGCTCCCCGGCTCGCTCCGGCGCTGTCAGTGCGGGCCGGGCCGGGGCGCGGAGCGGAGCGGAGCGGAGCGGGGCGGTGGGAGGCGCGGAGCGGCGCGGAACGAGCGGGGCGGGCGGCCCTGGGAAAAAAACCCGGCAGCGTGAGAACCCCGAGGCGGGCTGGCACCGAGTTAGCGACTCTCTCTCTCTTTCTTTCTTTATTTCTTTTTTTTTTTTTTTTTCCTTTTTGTTAGGGACTCGAAAATGAAACTTCCTCCTCCCTGATAATTAATAATACTAATGAGCTCGGTGCCCGATTGTCCGTCGCTGCCCTCTCCCCCGGTCCCCGCCGGCCGCGCAGGGCCGGGGCGCAGTGGGACGCGGTGTTCTGGGCTGATTTCACATTTGGCAGCTTTCACTGGTGTGGTGGGTCTCTCTTTCTCCGTCTCTCCCCGTCCCTCCCTTAGTTTCTTCCTTTCTCTCCCGGCTGATAGCCGCTTCCCCGCCGCCAGCTTCCCCCTCCCCGCCCGCAGCCCCTCCATGGCCATCCCGGCCCCACTTCCAACAACTTTCCTCTCGAGGAGCCGGAGGAAGGAAGATATTTGTGTGAACCTGAACCCATGCGCTTATAGCTCAGCTACTTCATTTAAGTGGAGAGGTGGAGGTGGAGGGGGGCTGAAGGAGGAGGGGGACGCACACAACAACAACAACAACAACAAAAAACACAAAGACAAGAGAATGTTGATTAGAAACAAATGATCCTGGCCCCCCCTCCCCTTCCCTCTCTCTAGGTTGTGAGTGTGAGTGTGTGTGTGCGTGTGTGTGTCTTTTTCTTGTTGTGGTGGAGGCGTCGAGCCATATGGGGGAGTGATAGAGGAATTTTAGTCAGAAACTGTTCGTTATGTTACACTGGCTTTTCCCTTTGTGTTGTCTTTGATCTATTTGCTTGGCTTAGTATTACAAAAAAAAAAAAAAAAAAAAAAAAAGCCCCAACTAAAATAATATATTCCGAGCAGCTTCCCAAGGATCCGTTTCTTGTTATCTTTTTTTAAAGTCTCTCCCCCTCCACCACCACCCTTTACTCTTGTGTCTGTCATTATTTAAGGTGGTCCTCACAGAGGAGACCTCCCCTTCCCCTCATCTCTGGGTAATTTAGTAGACATTAAAATTACACGTAATGTTTCCCTCTCCTCTCTTGTGTTTCCTCTGTTCTTTTTATTAAATGTTGGTTATTGATTTTCTAAAATCAATGTCTGTTGTGGGGCTTTTTTCCCCTTACAAGTATCTAAAGCACGTTGCTGATCAACTGGATAACAAAAGCTTTGTGTCAAGTAGCCTTTTTTCTTATGTTAAACAGTCATTTTTGAGAGAAAAAGAGAATGAGATTTAAAGCAACGCATCCAGAAGTGCTCTTTTGCAGTAAAGAATATTCTGAGTGTTTGAGGGGGTTTTATTCTTCCTCAGCCTCCTTGCTTTTCCAGGCAAGACTATTAGTTTAGCGTGTTAAACCCATCACATGCTCTCTGATGAGGGATGCATCTACGTGTTTAATATTTTCTCAGCATGATTTGAGTACTAAAAAAAAACCCA